GAGCTGACAGAATGGAGAGAGTGAGGGCAGGATGCCTTAGTTGGGCTCTGGAGACAAATAATCCATTCATTCTTTAAGCTATAGGTCGTCTACACTGCAAACCTACCACATACTCGGTCTTTCTTGCCCAAAGAAAGCAGCATCAAAGAAATGGTCAGTTATCTTCTCAAAGGAGGCCAGCTCCAACACACTCTCCTTCATGTTGGCCAGGTTAAACCTGGTAATACCCAGGTGTTCACCCTGTGCAAGGGAAGATGATCAATTGTGTCTCAAGCCACTCCAGGAAGTTCAAAATGAAAGCAGGAGACATTATCCCAACACTAGAACCAATAGGAACAGCCAAGCAGCTGTTCATGGCACCACTAAAAGCAGGTGGTTTTTAGTGCAGCTTCATAGCCATTGGAACTTGATGATCCCAAGGACAAGGAGCATGTCTCTTGTCAATTGTACCCAGATGCTGTGCCACACAGAATTAAAAAACTGAGTTTTAAAAGGGGATTGCTTCTCCTTTCCTATGATCATTAAGCTGATACTAGAAACAATTTAGCTAATTCAAGTCAAGGAAATGAGCCAAACATACAACAGATCCACACAGGACCGCCACTGTCAATATTTTATCTTATGGGGGAGTGCTTCGTGAAGCCTCACCTGAGGATTTATAGCCAGGTAGTGGTTGTTGGGGGTGAGGACAGACATATTCTTCAATGGTGTAAACACTGGTGAGGTGCCCATGGTTCAGTAAAGAACCTGTCCCTCAACCCTACTGTTGTAAGCAGCCCTAGTGACAATCATTATGTCATCTAAAAAATTCTTTCATTCATTCATTCATTCATTCATTCATTCATTCATTCATTCATTCATTCATTCATTCATTCATTCATTCATTCATTCATTCCTTTGTTTATTGGCCTTAAGATGAGAAAGTGCAGCATTTCACTGTCATTTTGAGAAACCCACCAGAAAGGGGATTTTTTTCTTTTTTGATTAGCGTGCCCTGGTGCATTTTAAGCACACTCCAGTAGGTGGCGGTGTAGCGGGAGGTCGCACAGCAGCAGGTGAGAAGCCTCTCTGGACAGACCCTGGGGCAGAAGAGGAAGCGGCACGTGCGGTGCTGTGCAGTGGCCGAGGGACAGCGGCTGCTCCCTGAGCCCTAAATCCAGAAGCGCCCGGGAAGCTGCAGCGACAGTGGTTTCTGTAGTCGGAGCCCGAGAAGGGCGCCCAGCAGCCGGCACCATGGTGAAGGAGCGGTTCCGGGAGACGGATGTAGCTAAGAAAACGGAAAACGCAGCCTGTGGTGGAGGCTGAGGTCCCGGGTCCCAGAGGGTTCCAGGTGAGGGACAGTTGTGAAGGGAGCGGAGAGAGAAGTTCCAGGATGGGATTTCAGATCTTACCGGGTCCCCGAACTGCGGCAGAGAAAGTGGGACAGACCGAGCAGTGTCAGAAAGGGCGTCCTGAGCCAAGATGCCACCTCCCGAAGCCCCGCGCTGACTCCTCTCAGGAACTTTTCCCTGGCACGAGGAGACAGTGTGTGCTGACCCGAGGTTGTCAGCCAGAAAGTGGGTTCACAGAGGCTAGGTGGCAGGCTGAGATCCAAGCTGCTGTTCCGGGCCCTCAGCTTCACAGTTAATTATTAAACCATAGCCCTTCCTTATGAGTTTTCACTTTTTCCCCCGTACCAGACCAGGTTTATTATTAAAATAGCTGTATATGAAGAGTCACAGGAAGAACAAAAACGGTAGGCACTGCCCCTAGGAGTTTCTCCTCTTCAAAATACAGCTGCTCAATTCAAACGAATTCCCCAATGTGAAGTGAATGCCTATATATATCTACTATACTGTTTCTAGTACGAAGAGTATATAGTATGAAGAATGATTCGAACTGGACATACATATTGACATGGTGATACATGCCTGTAGTCCTAAGATTTTCAGAAGGCTGAAGTGGGGAACTGCTTGAACTTACAAGTTCAAAGCCAGCCTTTCAACTCTAGGAGATTCCAGCTCAAACAAAGAAGCTTACAAGTAAACAGAAATCAAGGATGGCTCAGAATCTGCCACTGGAAAGTATCCTTAACATTTAAAATCATTTCTATTTCATATATTCAAATCATAGTTTAATATTATTTGTTTTTTTTAATGTGCATTAGTGTTTTGCCATGGGGAGTCTCGTGTTTTTCCAGTGCCCTGGAACTAGAGTTACAAACAATTGTGAGCTGTCATGAGGGTGCTGAGAGTTGAACCCAGGTCCTTTGGAAGAGCAGCCAGTGCCCCTAACTGCTGAGCCATCTCTCCAATCCCTTATTTGGTTATTTTTAAAATTGCCCATTCTTTTCTCTTTTTCTTTGCTGTCCCTACAAATGAGGGAGGTAAACACCTGGCCTTTGGAATTCTTGGTATTCTGCAACTCTTCAGAAGCTGGCCACTTACTTTGATCCTTTAAAGCCATTGCCTGAAATAATCTGTGGAGTGGAAGCAAACTCATACAGCAACAAAACACTTCAAATTGCATTAACCAGCAATTCAACAATGCAGACTTAAAAAAAAAGGACTGAGATATAGTTAGTTGAAAATTCTATAAACTACCATATCTTGTTTCTAATACAACTATACCAAACACTAAGTAACTAAGAACATTATTAATAAATCCCATAAACTTTCAACACAGCATATATTTACATTCAGTCTTTCAGCAATGGCTTTCCTCAAGAGCTCCTCTTCTTTCTCCTCCTGGCTGTTAACCCTCCTAGCTTCCTGCTCACTCATTTTGAGAGCCAAAGCAAATTGTTCTTCTTCTGACATCTAATTTTTCTTTTAGCCAAACACTCTGATCTGTTCGACTGTTTTGTCTTCATTTTCTGCAATCCATTCTCCTCTTTTGCTTCCTCTCCATCACTATCTGAGATCATTATGAGTAGGTCCTCCAGTCTACACTTCTTCTTTATACTGACACAACTGCTGGCTTCTGGATCCTTCTTCTCCAAGTTCTGGCTTTCAGAGGCTTCTTTAATTTTTTTCTTTCTTCCTAGCATCATTTTGTCGCTCGCTGGCAGCTCTGCAGAGTGCCTCCTGAACTCTAGGGGTTCGAGAGCAGACGCAACTCCTCAAAGTGAGGAACGTGCCAGGCAGTGCAAACTGCGAGTTTTCACTTTGTTTGTTTGTTTTAAAGGCAGATCTATTCATTTTTAAGGAGCACGAGAGAGTTTTGAGGCCAGTGTTGAGCACTGAAGATTCCTCAAGAATGCAGCATTTTCTGCTTGGTCTATTGGAGAGTACTCACATCCGCCATGGTTGCGGCAAATGCAAGGACACACAGGGGATAATGGGAGCACACATAATGTGGTGCTCAAACATACCTGCAGGAAAAATACCCGTATACATAAAAAATGAAATATTAAAAAGGGGGAAAATAACAATTAAAATAAGATGCAAATGCAAGTCAGGGGCTTAGGAAATGGCTCAGCAGTAAAGAGTAGTAAAGCAGGAGCTCTTACAAATTCTTTTTTAAGTCAGAGATACCCTGGTGCTGAGAGATGAAGGCAGGTAAGTAGGTAGATACATAGAAGGATGGATGGATGGATAGATAGATAGATAGTATATAGAGAGTAGATAGATGGATAGATAGAATTATAGGCCTATTATCCTGATTAACCTATAAATACAAATTTTCAATAAAATATTTGCAAATCAAGGTAATGATCACATCAAAAATATCATCCACTGTGGTCAAGTTGTCTTCACCTCAAACATGCAAGGATAATTCAACATACACAAATCCAGGACACCTTCAGTGCAGAGCTGTTGTTCTAAGTAGCTCCAGGTGTCCAGGATACCT